TCCTCTCTCATCTTAAATTCTCATTTAATATCCCTGTTTTTCAAATGTAATTACCTTGGTTAATGAGTACCCCAGAGTAATGTGTGGGAATACAGTGATGCTCGTGTCTGATTAGCTGTTTGCTTTAGTCCTTGTTTAAATAAATTCCAAAGAACCCCCCAAACACTTTCTAATGAGTATTCACCACTTAAACAAAGGTAGTCATACATGGTTTTAAAACTAGGAAAGGAAGAGAGTTCGTCAATGAAAAACCACTGAAGGGCTAAATTTATATGTAAATAAATTTGGAGGTGGAAATTGTAGATATTTGGAAAATACAAAGAGCTCTATTTATTTCTGAGGAAAGATATGAAAAGGAGAAGAAAAAAGAAAGAGAAGAAGGGAAGGAAAACCAGTTTGCCAAGTCTCTATAATTTAACTAGGCAGTTCAAGGTAGTTGGATTTCCAACTTTATAGTTCTAGAAAGCAGAATTATGGTAATTAAAGAAATTCATGAAATATGCACCTAAGAATGGAAACAAACAGAAAAGACATATCGAGGGTTTTACTGAGTATTTAGAATGAGTATTTAGAATGCAATGTTCAAATGTCAGGAAGATACATTAAACTCCTGGAACTATTTTATTGGAGTTTATTTGCCATTCACATCTCATGTACTCTATACTTCCAGTGTATGCACTTGGAGTTAATATTTCAATTGAAAAACTAAGATGCCAATAAAAATGCCCCTGATTTGAGTTAATCATTTATTCCCAATCTCTTAGGGAAATACTGGATATTCTTTGAATTAATAATGTGAGAAATGAATTTAATGCTTCAAGGGAAACACAGTATACCAATCCTGCAAATTATTTTTAGAAAGCATGGGCTATCTTATCCCATCCTACATCAGAAAATTTAATTGGCTGTTATTTCCTCTTTTTCCCAATCACCTTTTATGGCAAAGAGAAAATGGGAACGTACAGGGGCTTATAAACCAGTCCCCATGAACACCAAGAGAGGGGTTGGGCCAGTCAGAGTGTGTTCCTCAGAGGTCCTGAAGACAGTGGCTTAATAAATTTGACATTAGTTTACTTGGAATTTGGACACCTAGATGCCAATGCTAAATGTTCTAATGTCGAAACTCTAATTGTGAAGAATCCTGCAACTGTCGGTCAGTTATCTCCAAGTCCATCAGAGCGCAGCCAGCTCCACGCAGACCTTTGGTACGAGGTGGGGCAGCTCTCACAACCTGGGCTTGCTTCTTCCTTCTCAAGATTCTGCAACAGGAGGCTGGGCAGACCTTTGCATTTTATATTGGAAACACACCTCGCTTCTGTCCACAGTAAAAGAGAACTGGGACACTGTTTTGAAAACACAGTTTGCCCACATAAAATTGTGGCTAAGCGAGTTTGGTTTCTCTGAAATAGCATGAAGAGTAATTTATTTTTGTTCAAAAGGTGTTTTTATCTATTGTAGCTCTCGACTCACAAACACATTTAGTGTGTCCTCTTTTCTTCCCTCCACTGACAAATATATGAACGTACCCCTCTCTCTCTCTCTCTGTCTCTCTCTCTGTCTCTCTCTCTGTCTCTCTCTCTCTCTCACACACACACACACACACACACACACACACACACACACTCTTTTTGTCTAAACCTAAAACACTGTCTACTTTTGGTATTCTTTTGATGGAGATTTCATCAGGCATGTTTACATCAGAATGCTCACTGATCCCAACCTGGCCTCACTGCTGTATCCTAGCTACGTGAGCCATCAGCTCCCAAACGTTTCAGCTTTCTCTTTCCTCTCTGCTGGGAAACACCCCAGCCTACACCAAGAGAAAAATAACTCAGATGAATGTGGAGTATGAATATTTACATCATTTGCTTTCTTGGCTGACACATGCTTTCAACAAAACTCTATGGGATTGAAAAAGACATATTTAAAAAGAATCCTGGTGGCCAAGCCTGGTGCTCACCTGTAATCCCTGTGATTTGGGAGCCGGAGTAGAAGAATGCAAGTTTGAGGCCAGTCTTGGCAACTTAGCGAGAGTCTATCTCAGAATAAAAAGGTCTGGGGATGTAGCTTAGTGGTAAAATGACCCTGGGTTCAACCCCAATACCAGAGGGCAGGGGGAACTGGCTCTAATTGTATACCAGATACAAAAATTAACACAAAATCGATCAAAGACCTAAATGTAGGTGCTAAAACTAGAAAGTTCTTCTAAAAAATTAGAGGGGAAAGTTTCATGACATTAGACTTATCTGTGACTTCTTGGATGACATGAAAACATAGGCCATGTAAGAAAAAACAGATTGGATTTCATCAAAATTAAGCTTTTCTGCATCAAAGGACTCATAAAGAGAGAAAAAAAGTATCCCATGGTGTGGGAGAAAATATTTGCAAATTCTGTCTGATGAATAATTACTATCCAGAATATATGAAGAACTCCTACAAGTCAAAACAAAAACAGCAACAACCTAACTGAAAAATAGGCAAAGGGCTTGAATAGACATTTCTCCAAAGGAGAACTTTACATGAATAATAAGTGCCTGAAAAGTTGTTCAATGTTATTAATCATTAGGGAAATGTCAATCAAAGCCACAGTGATCGAATATTTCAAACTCATTACAAGGATAACTATCTCAAAACTAAAAAAACCATTGTGACAGGTATGTGGAGAAACTGGACCCCTTGTACTTTCAGTTGGGAATATAAAATGGTGCAGCCACAGTGGAAAATACTATGGTGGTGCCTTAAAAACAAATGATTTCCAACAATGGAAATATCACATGATCCAGCAACTCCATTACTGGGAATGTACCCAAAATAATTTAAAGCAGGACTCAAGTAGATATTTGTACACTAATGTTCATGAAAATGTTATTCACAAAAGTAAAAAAATGGAAACAACCCAAATGTTCACTGATGAATGAATGGATTAACAAAATGTGGTACATACATAAAGAGGAACCTCATATATTCTTAGAAAGAAATAAAGATTCTATAAATCTTGGAGACATTGTGCCAAGTGAAATAGGCTAGTTACACACAAAAGTGGTAAAGTGCCCCTGGGTTCAATTCCCAGTTAAAAAAAAAAAAAAAAATCTAGTCATGATTCTGTCTATGAAGCCAGAGACCAAGCTTTCCCTTGCTTTGGGGGTCCTCATCATTTGGTACTTTATCTACTACTTTTGAATTACAGAATATTGGAGCTGAAAGAAGACTTCTAGGTCATCTTAAAGGATTTCCCCATTGTTTTACTTTTATATTTAAAAAAAAATGATTAGCTTAAAACAAAATTTCCTAATATTTAGTGTAAGAAAATGTTTCTCTCCTAAACTGATGGTGTTCAGTGCACATCATGCAGTTCACAATTCAGTGCAGCCATCGATAAAATCTTTATTGGTATCTTCACCACCTCATACACGTGTGTGTGTGTGTGTGTGTGTGTGTGTGTGTAGCTTTTTTTCTTTAACTGAAAAATATCCACAGAGGACCCAAGATTCAAGTTGGGCCTCTCACTTCAAAGAAGAGAACAGGGCTAGAGAAGTCAACGACCTATCCAAGGGCATGTATTTTTTATTTAGTTTGTCTGGATCTACCAACTGGATATGAAGCTTCTCAAAGACAATAAAAAGACTTTCTTTTGTTGTCTTGACACACAACCCACAGAAATAAAGGGAGTGGTGGTAATAATACCACGAGAACGAACGTAAGCTTCACCCCTGTTTTTTCCAATGGACAGTCCGAGAGACTGCAGTTGACATGTGGGGTAGATGGGGTGCTCCTGTCTTCTATTTAGTCCACCTGAGTTTGGCCAGGGGTAGGGCATATAAAGGAGAGGGAGTAGGCTTTTATTTTCAAGGTTTCCATAGAAATATTTATGGTTTTAAATCTTAAATTGGTAATACTTGTTTTTTTACATATGTTCATAAAATTTAACATTGTCACATATGATGGGTGGGGACAGGTGGAACAGTGAGTATAATTTGATGTTTCTGGAAGACAGTTTGACCACATAAAAAATTTTACAGTGATAGTTCGTTCTTGTTAGCCCAGTGATTCCATCTGCAGAAACTTATAATCAGAGACACGAGCTAAGATTTAGACCCAAGTATGTTCACTATGATGGTGCAATGAACACATAGTATGTATTTATGCGTAATAAATATAAATATTCAATATGGATGATTTATAAAATACAGCACTGCCATAAACTTAGGATATCTAATGTTTTCTATCACGTTAACTTGCTAAATAATACTTAAAGACACATAGGAAAATTAAACAAACCAACAAACAAAATAGGAATAAATATGCTGTAATGTTGATTGTAGTTATCTTTAAATGATAACTTAATTGATGGGTAGGTTTTATTTTTTCTATAATTTCCATATTCTTTATTTTTTTCTACTTATAAAAGAAAGCAAAAAACATTTCAAAGGGGGGAAAAAAGAGTTAGCTCTGAGTCCCTGAATTCAAAGAACCAAATCTAAAACCCAGACTAGAAGATACGAGAAAAAGGGACCTGCATTGTTTGGGGGGGGAGGGGTGCTGAGCAGGGCAGTGTTGCAACAGCCCCTCCCTGCCGCACAGGGACCTGTGGCCTCCACTTCCTGGAGCTGGGTGAGGGCTGAGGCCGCGGCTGGGGAGGTGACATTGGCAGAGCTACTCTCTTGTTCTCCCCTTCCTGTCTGAGCACATCTTTTTCTTTGGGATTGGAGTTAAGAGCCATATTTATAAGCCTCACAAGTTATTCCTTGTCTCTTTGCTCCTAAGATGTTCACACAGATAGCAGCAGTTGTTTCCTCAGAGGCCACAGAAGTAAAGTGTACCAAAAACTAAGGACTTACATTGTAGGTTCAAAGTGTGTGAGCATGATGTGCAATGCACCACTAATGCTGTCACATAAACACATGCCCGGGACACGCTGCCTAAGCAGCAGATAGCTGGTGGAATGGGAGGAGGCTTTATGTTTGTACTTAAGTGGAAAGGATGCTGGGATGTGTACTCACCAAGAGCCACCAATTCGATAGGTCTGTTCCTTTAGAAGATGCTGGACAGGTAAATTCAGGCAGCTTGCTTGAGAGTTGTCCGTTCAATTTTTGGAGTGCCCTTTGAGGCCGATCCTAAAGGGTTAAGAAAGAAAAATAAATGCTAGAAATGCTTTGTATGTCACCAAATTTCATAGGTGAAATTGGGGGACCATGTTCTTTAGAAATGAACTAGTGTTACTCCAATTAGCATGTTCTCTACAAACCAAGAACTACAACCCTCTTCAAGGATGGCCTTGAAGAAATGGGAAGTAGTGATCAGAAAGTGACCAGTTTCTTCCATTTGATGTGTATTTCTCTTTAGACACCCACGACTTCAAGATAGACATAGTGTTGAGAAAGGAATACAGATGTAGACTCTATTTTATGCTCAAAGACTCACAAAAAGAAGAGCTCAAATCCTTTATAGAGATAAAAATATCTAGTTCCTGGGCCTCCCCACTCCACTTGGGGGCTTATGTTCTACACCACTAATAGATCATCATACTCATCCTTCAGAATCCAGAGAGGGTCCCCCAAACCACTGAGACAAGGACTTCAGGTATTGACCTCCAATTACTCAGAGCTGTTATGAAAGTGACTTACTATTCTGGTCTAAAATGCACAGTTAAGACTCTTCTGAGGATGCTTTTTGCAGAGAGAGGGCTATGAAAAATACTACTTGAGGTTCTAGGATAATCTTAAAAGTCAATTTGCAGAAAACGGTCAAATCAAGGGGACCTAAAGGTTAAAAGTATTTTAGATAAAGCATTACAATATACCTTCAGCTCAAAATTCTACTTTAATTTCATATCTGGAAATACCATCTACCTGACCCTCCCACCACGAAAGCCCTCCTTAAGCCACCAGAAACTCCAAATGACAATGTGTGTCTAAATGCCCAGGGCTCAACATGGCCCTGTGAGAGCAGCGCCAGCCAGGGAGCTAGAAGACTAGTTTTAATTCTAGGTCAGCCATGCCCTTGCTCCGTGACCTCGGCAAATGTCATTTGCCAAGCCATAGTTCCCTCCCTCCTCGCAAGAATAAAGGAATTGAATTAATCATAGTTTTTAGACAGCTTTTGTTTTTGTGTGATTTTATTTTGCTTTGATTTTTAGTTGTAGCACCTATTTTTCCACTGAAAATTTACCTAGATGTATAAACCAACCAAACAGAAGCCTGGCTGAAGTGGAGGTGGGTGATGATGGGACGCCTCCATCACCCACTGTGGTCCATGGGGTCACCCATCATAAGGCCACCACAGGGCATCACAGGGCCTTTAGGCCTCAACAGAGCACAGTTCAGAACCCCCGGGTTAAATGCCCTCTAGAGTCAGTTACAAGTCAAAATTATTCAGCCATAATGATCTTTACTGGAATGATCATTTCTTAGTAGGATCCATAACCTCATGGAAACATAAACAATAATCTTAACCAGGACCTAGTCTTAATCCTTATCATTGATGATCTCCTCAAAGGGGTGGGGAGAGTCACAACCTCAAATTACAGAGCAGTAACTGTTAATTTACTTTTCAAGTGCTGGGTAAGCCCAGCACTGAGATAGACGAGTCCTAAAATGCTGCAGCTCACATAGTACTTAATAGCCAGCATCACAGTGTGACCAAAACTATGAAAATGAAAACGCAAATTACAAGGTGCATCTTAAAATTAGCTGTGTAATGTCAAGACAGAGGGACAAAATCAGGCTCCTACATCACTCATTTACTAGGTAAGTGAATCTCAACAAGTTTATTCAAGCTTTTTTGACCCTCCATAAAATGGAGATAATTCAGCACCATTCCTGGCACATATTATGTGTGCAGAGTTCTGGATTTTTCTCTCTTGATATAGTGGTAAAAGTTTCCCTTTAAAAATGTAATGGCATGGTAATGGACATAGATTCCATGAATCGAAAGCAAATTATTACTATGTAATGAAACACAGGATTCATATAGTTTGGTGCTATATCATAATAAGAGAAAGAAAGATCACTGATTAGCTATGTAAGTAGCAATTATTTGCTTAGGCTCAATTGCTTATTTCCAGAAAAATCTGATTTTCCAGAATGACTCCTAACACAATCTATTTCATAAAAATTTTAATGCTACTGTTTTTAAGCTATTGTTTTGTCAAGAACCTTCAAATGAAACCCACATGTCACATCCCTCCTGACACAATATTGGGTACCCTAGAGAAACCCGGTTTGAGATTTTACTGTGGAGGAAAAAAAACTTTTGTGTCTTACAAAAGTCACCCAGTGGGTAGGAAATAGGTGACTAAGATCTGTGCGGTAAATTCCTAGGGAACTGTGGTTTCCAGAGATTAACTGATTTCATTATTCAGTCCAGCCCGACTTTACACCCTGCACTATGAAGCTGCTATAGACATTGCTCACTACATCACGGAGTCTTTCAGAAGACCAAATGGGGAAAATTTTGTAGATTCCAGGAAAGGGAAAAGCTACAGTGAGCAAAGAAACTGGTGTCTGTTTTCATTCTTCCAGCATGTGAATCTCAGAGCTGCTCAGGGCTCCCTCTGCATCACACGGCCGGATCTGAGGGCCAACATTTGCTGGATGCTCATGGCACCATCTCCACCGACCTGACCTGTTTTGGTTGTTTTGGGAGGGGTCCCTCTTCTTTCTGTGTCTTCTCATACCCATACATAGATTGAAAGCTGTTTCAAATCCATGAGATTAATAAATTCATTTTTTACCAAAGGTCACTTCGGACTAAGATCAAGTCACGTTCTGTGCTCTGCTCTCAACTCTCAGTCACTAGCATGGACTACAAGTAAATTTCTCGTCCCTGCCCTCCACTGAGGAATAAAATTTCCACTTCTTGAAAATAGATTATTAAAGATAAACTAATGGCCCACTCCCAGGGATGCTAACTAAAGTATATAGGCTTAAAGCTACCAGGAAGAGGGATGAGGGTCAGACGACAGATTCCTAGTTTCTACTCTGCCCTTGGATCATCTGACCTAGGACATGCCACCAAACTTCCTTAATAAGGCCTGAAGTTGCTGGCTCCTCCTTCAGTCTTACCTGGTGTCATTTCCCTCTTTACACATGTTGTTCCCAATGCTTCCTGTCCCCCCAATCCCTTGGCTTAGCCAGCTTGTACTCAGCTGTAAATTTTACTCCTAGAAAGCCATCCCTGAAGAGATTCCCACACTGTCACATAATCCCTCCCAGCACTCTTCACAACACTAGGTAGATCTTATGACATGGCTGGTTTATCCTTAGAGATTGCTAAGGTCATCTATAGTCAATTTAATATTCTAATAGGGAAGAATGGAGATCTGTCTTACAGTTATAACTCCAAAGTCTCATGCCCTATCTTGGCCCACAGTAGGAGCTTAATTAATCGTTTAATTAATGTGAGATGGACTACATTTATAATGGTAAGCACATAACTTTAAAATTGTCATTTATAGTTCAAATCATGTTTTTATTCAAAAGTTACTTCTATGTTTCATAAGAATAAAAAAATGAAATTTCACCAATATTTTCATTTCTGGGACTAGGGATGATCACTTGCCTAGCATGTGTGAGGCTCTGGGTTCAAGTACTGGAACCAAAATTTTTTTTTTAAATTTCTGGTATTTCTGGAAGTATACATTCTAGTGACTATAATATATATAATTCAGGGTAGAATTTAGCCTACTTGAAAGGTATCATTTATGGATTTTTTCCAAAGCTCAAATGCTTCTTACCACTTGGCAACATTAAAAAGAAGGAAAAAGAAAAAAAATATATCTTCAAGGAAAATACATGATCTGGATTTATCTCCTTTTACAGCTGTTGCCATGTGATACCAAATCAGTTATGGAAAAAGAAACCTTCTTAAAAGAGTGCTAGACTTGACACTGAGGAATTTAAAAGTATATTGCCCCATGACATTCAAAAGGAAGGTATCCTGAAATGTTCCCAAACCACCTCATCCAACTATGCCACATCCGAGTCTCTCTTGACATGAACAGAGAAAAGATCAAGTCTACACCAAATTGGGATGTTTTGTGGCCAGGCTAGGCTAGGTTACACTAAGTCTTAATAATATTAATAATGGTAATAACAGGTAACATTTTTTGCATGTTTATTCTATTCCATGAACTATACCACCATCTTATTTAATTGTTGCTATAACCTCTATGATTTCACTCACTCTGGAGAAAAGGGAACTGAGTCACAGCAGCACAGGAAGGCTGCCCAATTGCTAGGATCTCTTAGCTGAGTGTCATGAAGCTGGGATTCAAACCCATGGTATGAGAACAGAATCAGTGTTCTTAATTACTGTGTCCTGTGGGAGAATCCAATTGCTTCTGCACCCATTTGGAAGAGTAGAAAATTATAATTTGTGCTATAAAAAAGTTACCAATGGCTAAAATTTGGATCGTAAATGTTCCCCAAAGGCTTATATATCAAAGGCTTAGTCCCCAGCCTATAGTTCTACTGGGAGGTGGCGGAACCTGTAAGAGGTGGGACTTTGTCCTGGGTCTTGGGTTTTAGGCCAATGGGGCATGCCTTTGAATGGGACAGTGGGGTCCCAGACCCTTCCTCATCCTTTCCTTTTGCTTTCTGGCCATGAGGTGAGCAGCTTTGCTCCACCATAGGCTCTCCAACTTCATGTGCTGCCCTACCACAGGCCCAAGGCAACAGGGTCAATCAATCATGGACTGGAACCTCCAACCGGGTAAGCCCAAATAAACCTTTTTTCTTTGTCAGTTGATTAACTCAGGCAGTTGGTACAGTAACAGAAAGCTAATGCATAAACGACTCTATATGTACAGATTAGTTAGAACTAAATGGCAAATCCATGGATTAAGATCCACCATCTTGGGGCTGGGGTTGTGGCTCAGCGGTAGAGTGCTCGCCTAGCCCTGGGTTCGATCCTCAGCACCACATAAAAATAAATAAATAAAATAGTATTTTAAAAAAAAAAGACCCACCATCTAAGAATTATTTCAAAAGCCCCAAATATTCAAACTTAAACAGTAAAAACTAAACATAGGAATTCAACTTCTGGGGTGAAGAGTAGAGAATGTCAGTTGCTCACAAGTACCATGGAACCAGAAATACTTGATATTCCAATTGTT